TGTAACATAAATATAAAGCCTTTGTAATTGGGCAGCTGGGTGGGTACAGCCAACCCTGGAGTCAGGGGAACCTTAGTTATCTCAGACATTTACTAGCTATGTGACCCTGGGCAATTCACTTAACCCTGCTTGCCTCAGTTTGCTCATCTGAAAAATGAGCTAGAGCAGGAAATGGCAAAACTACTCTAGTAGCTTTGCCAAGAAAACCCCAGATGGGGTCACAGAAGAGTGAGACAGAACTACATAACAACAATATCTCAGTAACCTTGACCATTATAGCTTTGGACCTTCTTTTTATTGGTTCTATTTGAATTATCTAGTCAAGTTGTGCATTTAAGTCAGTCAGTCAACACTTACTAAGCACCTATGGTGTTCCAGGGACTATGCTAAAAAGTGGGAGTAACAAAGAAAGGTAAAAGTAGACCCTGCCCTCAAGAAGGTTACAGTCTAAGTAGAGAGACAACATATAATTGTGCAAATAAGAAATATACAGGACAAAACTGAGATTGGGGAAGGCACTTTCATTAAGGAACAGCAAGAAGGGGCCAGTGTCACTGAATCTCAGCATATGGGGAATATAAAGTATAAGAAAACTGGAAAGGTAGGAGGGAACCAGGTTATGAAGGGCTTTGAATGCCAAACAGAGGATTTTATATTTGATCCTGAAGGTGATAGGGAGCTACTGAAGTCTATCAAATAGGAGGTAGGTGACATAGTCAGATCTGAGACTTAGGAAGATCAGTGTGATGACCGAGTAGAGGTAAGACACCAAGCAGAAGGCTATTGCAATAGTGGAGGTAGGAAGTGATAAGGGTGTTTACTAAACTGGGGGCAATGTCAGAGAAGGGAGCACAGAGAAATGTCATGAGGTAATGTTTGTTAAAAGACTGGAGATGGGAGGTGAGAGAGTGAGGAGTTGAGGATGACACCAACGTTGTGAGCCTGCCTGACTGGGAGAACTGACAGTAATAGGACAACTAAGAAAAGAGGATTTAGGGAGGAAAGATAATGAATTTGGTTTTAGACATGCTGAGTTGCATTTTTTAAATGCAATTTTGCCTCAGTTCATCTGTTCATTTCCCCCCTCACCTAGGACAGAAAATTAGGAGAAATCTGAGTACTCCAATAGGTCACAGAAAAACCAATGTAGGCGTTGACCAAGGTATCACTACTCCCAGCAGATTTGGGATATAGACCTACTAAGATATAAGATGATATAAGAATGGCAGCTAGGCTAGTGGAGTCAGGAGGACCTGAATTCAAATCTAGTCTCACTTACTAGCTTTGTGACCCTGGGCAAGTCATTTAACCCTGTTTGCCTCAGTTTCCTCATCTGTAAAATGAGCTGGAGAAGGAAATGGCAAACTACTCCAGTGTCTTTGCCAAGAAAACTTCAAATGGCATCATGGAGGGTCAGACACAACTGAAACAACTCAGCAAGAAGATATGAGAAATCTTTCACTGAGAGAAGTCTGAAGTCCAGCGAGTATTGCCTTCTTTCTGCTTTAAGTATAGGGAATATATAGAAATACCTCAAGTGGAAAGCAAGCAACACACTGTGCCTCAGCCCAACATCCCAAATCTACTGAAATGTAGCTTGGTGTAGTAGAAACAGGACTGAATATGGACCCAGAGGACCTGGCTCTGCTACTAGCTTCCTGAGTGACATCAGGCAAGTTATTTCACCCCTTTCTGGGCCTCTCCATTCTCTCATCTTATAGGAAGAGGGAATTAGGTGGCAGCTCCTGAGTTTAAATCTGGCCTCAGACACATAACATGCAGTAACTGTGTGACCTTGGGCAAGTCACTTAACCACACTGCCTAGCCAAAAAAAAAAAAGAGAGAGAGACAGAGACAGAGAGAGATAGATGTAAGGAGGGAATTAGACCATGTGACCTCTACCATCTTGTCCAGCTCTACAGATAGTTTCAGGGTCAGGAAGAACCCAGGAAGACCTGGGTTCAAAAGTATTGCCTCTGACAGTCTGGGTGAGACTTGGCAGATCTATGAACCTTAACACCTCTTAGCACAAAAAGCAACTCAGTGAGACCTTCAGTGACAAAACAGTCACTAACATGCTTTAGTACAGACAGTTTCCTCCACCAGAGAGGTCAAACACATGTACAATGTCTACAACACTCCTGAGTTCCTGAAGGCCCTTAAAATATAGTTCCTACCTAATTTTAATGCATTGATGTATTAATAAAAATACTCAAACGTGTGGTTTTCTAAGTCAATAGTCCATAAGGATCCTCATGCATGGTTTAGTGGCCATTTCTATTTGAGCTTGACATCACTGGCCCACACCAATGAAATAGATTCCAAAAACAACCAAAAAAGCACTACAGTTTGCAGAACAATTTACATCCATTACTGCATCCACAATAACCCTATAGAGCAAGCACAGCATGGAGTATTATTCTCAATTTATAGATAAAGTGAGGCATAGAGAGTTGAAGTAAATTACCTAGGCCAAATCCTAATTAGTGATCCTTCCTTGGTGCCTCAGTTTTTCATCTGTGCAAATAGGGAAGATGATGCCAAGATGAGGGCATTGCCAAGATCAAATTCTGGATCTTTCCTAGTCCCAAAGCCCAAGACCCCACTGGTTCCAGTCCAGTCATTTATTATTCTAGTTTTGGAGAAAGTACCAAGAAGTATCTCCTTTCTCCTGAGGAAGAGCTGACCAAAAGAAAAAAAAAATCAACTAAGAACCCTTTCATTTAAGAATGTACCAAAGTGACCCAATCCCAGGTGGCCACTGGCAAATGCTATCGGAGGGTAGGAAGAAGAGAGAGTGAAGACAGAGTAGCTGTGGCCACCCCTGGAATTGGTCCACTGGCCACATCATCTTAGTATCAGACAGCTCTCTCTCCTCACCTCCACCTCTTGGAATCCCCTAGCTTCCTTCTTCAAGGCACATTTCAGGTGCTCTCTCTTACACAAGGCATACTGAAGGATTCCTGTGGTCTGTATATTCACTTAGAAAGCCACACGTGTTTATACATTTTTTTCCTCTCCCCTTTTCTTGGTCATCCCCCAAGCTGTGCTCACTCCCTCAAATTACTTTATATTTAGTTAACTGTATACATATTGTAACCTCCAGTAGAATGAATACGAAGGCATTATTTCGTTTCAGTCGCTGCATCCCCATCACCTAGCACAAGGCTATATATACAGGAGTCAGTTAATCAATGCTTGTTGAATTTATGAATTGCTCAAGGGCACAGGCATCCAAGAGGCACCATGGGTCTCTTCTGCCTGCTTTATGGAAGATGTACTACCCAGGACTAGCCCTAGGTTTCCAAATGCCTCTTGCAAAACTTGGCATAGGGGCAGCTAGGTGGCACAGTGGATAGAACACCAGCCCTGGAGCCAGGAGGATCTGGGTTCAAATCCTGCCTCAGATATTTGACACTTACTAGCTGTGTGACCCTAGGCAACTCACTTACCCCCAACTGCCACACACACACACACACACACACACACACAAACTTGGCATAGGGCAAAATGTTTGGTAGGCATAGAGACAGAGAAGAGGGGAACCTTTATAGCTCCTATGATGCCTGACATTTCTAAAGATGCTCCTAGCTCTAAACCTACCTACAGTGTGTATGGGGTGAAGGGAGAGTGGGCCCTTACACATGTTCTAAATGAAAGGGCTTTCTAAGTCATAATGAGCTACATAAATGTCGATGGGCAATATGGTATAAAGGAACAAGTCAGAGTCAGGAGAGCTAAGTTTAAGTCCTGGCTCTGACCCTTAAAAGCTGTGTACTCTTTTAGGCAACAAGGTAGCTAAGTGGTAGCTCAAACACTACCTGTGTGACCCTGGATGATTTATTGAACCTCTACCTTAGTTTCCTCAGCTGTAAAATGGAGATCATAATAGCACTTACCTCACAGGGTTGTGGTAAAAATCAAATTCCTGGCACTTAATAAATGCCCACTCCCTCAGTCCCCCTCCCCCAAGACATTTTACTTCTCTGTATATACAATTCCTGGTATATAGTAGATACTCAATAAATATTTGTTGGAAGGAATAAATCAATATATTTCACAGAATGTTAGAATTTGAAAGGACACTAAAGGTTAGTTATTATAAACCTTTCATTAGATAGATGTGAAAAATGAGGCCCAAAGGGTCGGAATTGCCCAAGGTCATAAATTCAGTAAATAAAAGTGTCAGAATTTGAATTCAGGTCCTTGGACTTTTTAAAGTTCCATACTCTTTTCACCATACCCCAATTAGCTTCCCAGAGTGTTTTTGAGAAAAGTGCTTAAAGCTGAAGTCTGTGATCTAGCATTTCCAGAATCTACGGCTTTTGACATGATCAAGCCAAGTCATTCAGTCCTACTGGTCTGGGAAGCAGAGGATTGGGGCCTGCCTCCCCAAACTCATCCTGGAGCGGCCTTGGGGCACCTCAGCTTCAGAGGCCCTGAGGAAATTCTCGAAGCAGCAGGAAGCAGCTGCCGGCCCCACCTCCGGCACCCAGGACGTGTTCCACCCCGCAGCGCAGCTGACAGCCTCGGCTAAAGCAATCTCGTGCCGGCCTGGCCCAGCTGAGTCTGGGGCCCGGGAGGTGGGGCGGGGGTCCCTGCTGAGGGGCAGGGGGAAGATCAGGGGGGCGGGGTGGAGGTGTAGGCGTCCGGGGGGGGGGTCTAGGGAAGCCGGAGGAGTGGATGGCGGGTGGGAGCCCGCCCTCCAGGGAAAAGGACATTGCTCCACTGAGCAGGCGGGCAAAGCGGAGACTACACGAATTCCCCCTCCCCCCAGCCATGTGGCAATGACACTCCCCAGTAACCTTTCCACAAGGTCACCCCTCCTCCCCCAAGCTACCATGCCTAGCACCGGGAGCTGCTGGGGAGGGGAGTGGGACAGGGCAGCAGAGAAGAGGCAGGGTCTGGGTTAGATATCTTGGCCCCCAGGGAGATGGGGGCCCCCCAGTCCCGGGCGAAGGGGCTGCAGGACTGCCGCCGGAGTGCGGCGGCTGGCTCACCTTGATAGAGGCCAGGGGCCCGGCGGCTGCTGCGCTGACCGCCGGCATTTCAGGTGCTCCCCCAGCTTGCTTTCCAGTTGCTGCGTGGGACCTACAAGGACGAGGACTCCGCGTCACCGCCAGCCCAGAGGGAGCGGGCCGAGCTGGCACGGTCCCTGGCGCTGCCGGCCCGGGGGAAAGGGCTGCGGGGGCACAGGCCGGGGAGCCCCGGGAGCCAGTGGAGGCTCGGGAGACTGCAGGCTCTAGCGGAGGAATCGTTGTTCGCCTCACTCTCAGTAGGGAGTGACAGCGCGTCAAGCCGCTCTGAAAAACCCCCAATGGTCGCTTTAAGAAGGAAAAAAAAAACACACACACACCCTAAACCACGAGGGTTTGCGACTCCATGTGCAAGGTGGGGGCGAGAGAGGAGGGGGTGATGTGCCCCCGGAGCCCTCTCCCGGCTCCTCCTTCCTCACCTGTCCTCCGCTGCGTGGCTAACTTGCTGGGTCCCTTGGTGATGGTGTACATTCTGCACTCGCCGCGGCTCTCCGGGGAGGCAGGACGTGGTCAGGGGGTCCCAGCTTGGAGAAGAGATGGCAACGCAAAAGTGGGGGGCGGGGGGCACCTTCTGATCTCGGCCCCGACCCCTCGGGACCACCCAGCCCAGCGCAGTCCGACAAGTCCCCGTCAGGTGGCTGCCAAACTCTCGCAGTCCACCTTCAGCTCTAACTTCGCTCTGCGGCTGGGAGACTGCGATTCCCCTTTAATGCTGGAGGAGAGTAAGAGAAGGACTGAGGCATGCTGGCTACACGCCCCCAAGCCTCTTAAAGGGACCGACAACCCTTGCGGGAGAGCAGCCTCTGGTGCTCAAAGGGCAGCCACAGAAAACTTGGTTTGTTCAAGCTCATGGGAAGGCAGTCCAACTACGAAATGAAATAGGCGTGGAGGACTTTTTCGCCTGGATTCCCTGCACGGTCATAAGATTAAATGTCCCGACTTCGGGTACCTTTAAGTCATAATGCTAATGTAACTTTTTGGAGGGAGGTTTCCTTGGCACCTTTGCAAAAACAGCCCAAGACTCTTCAGTCACAAGACTCCTAGTGTGGTTGTTTGCTCATTATATGGGGCTGAAAAAGACAGAAAGACGAAGATAGGAATTGATGGGGGTGAGGGGCGTGTTAAATATTTAGCCGGCGTTGGGGGGGAGGGGAATATGCCCGAAACTCTTAAATTCAATCTGCATTTTTCACATTTTCTCCATCATTTTCTCAAGTTCAGACAATCAACAAAAGAATAAATCAACCCCTGATTTGTAGCGTTTGCGATTTTTAAGGTATAAATGCTCACACTGAAATTTAACAATCGGTTCTAAGGAGCTGGTACCAGCTGGCTCCAGCACACCCCTGAATATATCTAAATTAAACACTTTATGGATTTTAGAGGTGGAAAATAAAGATAAAGTGCACCTCCAGAGAGAGAGAGAGAAATCTCACTAACTGGTATGAAGAACTCCTAAGGAAGAAATTTCACTAGTTAATAAATAGAATCTAAATTGCAGAGAAGGTGCGGATCCACATTGCTAGAAGGCTTTTCCTCAGAGGGAGTTCCCTATGCCAATTAAAGCATAGCTCTGAGCTGGCTTTCCCTTGCCACTCTGCTCCATTCTAGCTCTCATCCAACTGTCAGATGCTTTGGGAATGCAAATATTTTAATCTTAGCTAAAGCTAGCCGCAAGAAGGAAGGCAGTTCTACTAAAAATAAATGTCTCAGTGTTGGAAGGGACTTTGGAGACCATCTATTCCAACCCATAAGTGAGCAAGCCTTGAAACCTCAGCACACCTGACAAGTGGTTACCCAGAGCTTGCTCTAAGCTCACCAGCCACTACCTTTTCGGGCTAGCCCTAAATCTGCCCCTCTGCTCGAAGCATACTATTTCAACTTTTTTTCTTTCTTTCTCGTGGTTTCCCCCTTTTGTTCTGATTTTTCTTTAGCAACATGACTAATGTGGAAATGTTTAATATGATTGTAGATGTATAACCTATATCAGATTGCTTGCAGTCTTGGGGAGAGAGGAGGTAAGGAGGGAGGGAGAAAAAAAAATTTGGAACTCAAAATCTTATAAAAGTGAATGTTGAAAACTTTCTTTACAGGTAATTGGGGAAAAAAATAAAATATTATTAAGTGGGGAAAAAATCTGCCCCTCTGCAACTTCCATTTCTTCGGGAGCGCCTACTTCTGTGCTCTAGGTTCAGGGAGAACAATTCTGATCCCTCTTCCTTGATAACCCTTCAAATACTTGAAGACAGATAAGGTGCCGCTCCTAACGATTCTCTAGATTAAAGATGACCAGTTTCTTCCACTTAATTTCTTACAGATAGTTTCAATGCACTTCACCTCTAGGTGGCCCTCCTCCAACTTATCAACATTTTTTCCTAAAATGTGTGCCCAGAATTGAACACAATGACCCCTGGGTGGTGTAATTGGGAGGAGTAGAGCTAATTCTTGACATTATGCCTCTCAATGCATCCTAAAATCTCAGGGGGCTATTTGACAGCTATATCACACTGATGACTCATAGTTTTCAAAATCCACTTAGATCCTCAGCTCTTTTTTTGTTTTACCTTTTTGGTGAGGCAATTGGGGTTAAGTGACTTGCCCAGGGTCACACAGCTAGTAAGTGTCAACTGTCTGAAGCTGAATTTGAATTCAGGTCCTCCTGACTCCAAGGCCAGAGCTCTATCCACTGTGCCACCTAGCTGCTCCAGTCCTCAGCTCTTTTTTAAAAAAATAATATTTTTCCCAATTACATGTAAGGTTAATTTTTAATGTTTATTAAAAAAATTTTAGTTTCGAATTTTGTCCTTCACTCAGTTCTTCTATAGATTAATTGCTATCTAGTCATGCCCCCATCTTCATTTTGTAGTTGTGAAGTTTATTTTTTAAACCCAAGAATAAAACTTTAAATTTATCACTATAAAATGCTATCATCATAGATTTAGGCCCATCAGATCTAGTTCAATCTCCCACCTCATTTTACAGATGAGGGAATTGAGGCTCAAAGAGGTTAAATGACTTGCCCAAGGTCACACTGGTAAGTGGGCAGAGCTGATACTCTTTCCATTGCCTCATACTGCTAGATTTGATTCCAAGCTCTAGTCTGTCAAGACCTTTTTAGATTCTAACATTGTCATCCCGTATGTTAGATATGGGATCTATCTATCATTTGCCAGCCTGATGATCAATCCCCTTCTGCCTTTATGCAAGTCATTGATAAAAATGTTAAACAAAACAGGCCAAACAGGTCCCTAGAGACTTCCTAATTCTATATTAAGTCATCAGTGAACTACTTTTGGGCCCATTGCAAATAATAATCCATTTTGAAACTAAATCTTAAGTATTTTCAAATGGTCTGATTCTGTTTGAGAGGCAGCTAATATAATAGAGAGATCAGGGGATCTAGATGCCCTGGTTAGAGCCCCAGAAGTCCTTTATTCCTCTGGGCCTCAGTTTCTTCCTCTGTACATGAGGGACTTGGACTAGATGATCTTGAAGGTTCCTTCCAACCCTAAACTCTAAATTCTATGGCTATGAATTACTTCACCCCTATGAACTTCATTTCCCTTATCTGTAAAACAGGGGTTATATCTCCATCACAAACAAAGCTGTTTGAAGATCAAATGGGATAGCAGTATTATTAATTGTTTAGTCAAATATAAAACAATATGGAAATATTGATCATTATTCAGGTCACGGCTATCTTCTGTTAGCAGTAGTAATGTAGAATTCACAGTACTTGCTTCTGGTCTAGCTACTTTTCCAGCACCTATAGCCAAAGACAGATGTAGTCCTGTAAAAGAGATGGCTGGCTTTGGGTGATAAAAATCACCAGATCTCTATTCTACTCTTCCTTGACAAAAATAACTAGCATATATATAGCATTGTAAAGTTTGCAAAGCACTTTACATCTCTTAACTCAACTGATCCTAACAACAACCCAGTGAAATAGGGGATATTATTATCCCCATTTTAGAGAAGAATCAACTGAGACAAAGAAGGTATAAGTGACTTGCCCAGGGTCAAAAGCAAGTAACTTTGTTTTTTCTTTTTTTTTTTTTGCTTAGGCAGTTGAGGTTAAGTGACTTGCCCAAGGTCACACAGCTAGTAAGTGTCAAGTGTTTGGTCTGAGGTCAGATTTGAACTCAGGTCTTCCTGACTTCAGGGCCAGTGCTCTATCCACTGTGCCACCTTGCTGCCCCGAAAGTAACTTTCTGTGGCAAGATTTGAACTCAGGTTTTCCACATTTTTCTTTTGTTGTTATTGGTTCTAATTTTTTTCTTGTTCTGAATTTAACAAACACCAAACTAAAATAAGCATTTCCTTTTACAAAACAGAACAGAGAAAGAGGGTTGTGTATAAAACCATGACTCTCTCAAGTAACACTTGCTTTTAATATTTAAATAGATAAAGTATTTAAGTGGTTACTACGTGTCTACTCCCCCCCCCCCAGCCTGGAAACACAAATACAAGCAAAAAGAAAGGCAGTACCTGCCCTCAAGAAGTTTACATCCCAATGTAATCCATTTAATATATATATAAAAGGGAGCTGAAAAACCAGGGATGAGGAGAGGGCCTTTTATTTAAATTTTTTTTTAAACCGTGTAAATTGTTCTGTGGTTCTCTCCACTCTGTATCAATTCACACAAGTCTTCCCAGGTTTCTCTGAAACTGCCTTTTGAGTGAAAATATTCCATTACATTCATATTCCATAATTTGTTCAGCCATTCCCCAATTTGGGGGCACCTTTTAGTTTCGAATTCTTTGCTATTAACAAAAAAGAGCTGGAGTGTGTGTGTGTGTGTGTGTGTATACTTTCCCTCATTGATCTCTTTGGAATATAGACCAAGTAGTGATATCACTGGTGAAAGGAGGGCAGGGGCAGTTTAGTGACTTTTGGGTCATAGTACCAAAGCTCTGCCACCCCTAAAGAAGCACTGGACTATGACTTTGACCCTACAGGAAAGACAGCCAAAGATTAAGCTCCAACTGCCTTGAACTGGCAGCTTCCAAGGGCAGGGTCCAGAGCTATTGCTTTGTAGAGAGCCCAGCTGATGCTCACAGAACTGACTCGAGTTAAAGAGAGAGAAGGGAAAGAGAGGGGCTCTGACTATGGGGAGCATCTTTGAGACTAAAAGCTCCCTAAAAGTGAACAAGGATTTTTTTGAGCCATTTTAATTTTTTTTCATATTTAATTTATTTATTTTTGGTTTTCAACATTCACTTACATATGATTTTGTGTTTTAAATTTTCTCCCCTTCCCACTCCTCTGCTCCCCCCAAGACAGCATGCAATGTGATATAGGCTCTACTTATACATTCATACTGAATATATTTTCTCATTACTCATGATGTAAAGAACAATTAGAACTAATGTGAGGAACCACAAGAATGAAGCAATAACACAAAACAACAAAGGAAAAGGAGAGTAAATAAATAGTATGCTTCAATCTGCATTCAGATTCCATAGTTCTTTCTCTGGATGTAAATATCATTTTCCATCATGAGTCTTTTGGAGATGTCTTAGATTCTTGCATTGCTGTGAAGAGCCAAGTCTATCAAAGTCAGTCATCGCACAATGTGGCTGTTACTATGTACAATGTTCTCCTGGTTCTGCTCATTTTACTCTGCATCAGTTCATGTAAGTCTTTCCAGGGTTTTTTGAAGTCTGCCTGATCATCATTTCTTTTTTAAAAAATTAATTTATTTTGATTTATCAACAATCACTTCCATAAGCTTTTGAGTTTTAAATTTTTCTCCCCCTCCCTTCCCACCTCCCTCCCCAAGATGGCACACAATTTGATATGTGCTATATATATACATTCCTATTAAACATATTTTCACATTAGTGATGTTGTAAGAATTAGAACCAATAGGAGGAACCACCAGAAAGAGGAAACAAAGCACAATAGAAGAAAAAAAATAGCAAATAGTATGCTTTGATCTGCATTCAGACTCCACAGTTCTTTCTTTGGATGTGGATAGCATTTTCCATCATGAGACTTTTGGAGATGTCTTAGATCCTTGCATTGCTGAGAAGAGCTAAGTCTATCAAAGTTAGTCATCTCACAGAGTAGCTGTTACTGTGTACAACGTTCTTC